ACGTTGCGGGAGCCCGGGCGGTAGGAGAGGAACAAATTAAACCGGGTGAAAAATAACGACCACTCGTCCGTGCAACTTTTACAGACGGTTCATCCGTGGCTACAGCACCGTGGCCGCCCCGCTCACCGCCCTGACCTCGTCCAAGGTGACGTTCCGATGGTCCCCTGCAGCCGAGGAGGCTTTTCAGGACCTCAAGGGCCAGTTTACGTCAGCTCCTATCCTGCAAGTACCAGACCCCGCTGGTCAGTTGGTGGTGGAGGTGGATGCTTCTGACATAGGTGTGGGGGCCAGTCTTTGTGCCGACCTGATGTATTCCAGGTTCTTATGGTCGGTCCAAACCTGAAATGGTTGTTCTGTCCCCTCAAGCCAGTGTCGCCACTCTTCCAACGCCAACTTGACTGCTAGAAGCTCCCGATTCCCCACGTCATAGTTTTTCTCCGCCGGACTCAATCTCCTCGAAAAGAAAGCACAGGGGTGGAGCTTCTAGTTCTCACCAGAACGTTGCGACAGGATGGCCCCCACACCTACGTCAGAAGCATCCACCTCCACCACCAACTGACCAGCGGGGTCTGGTACTTGCAGGATAGGAGCCGACGTAAACTGGCCCTTGAGGTCCTGAAAAGCCTCCTCGGCTGCAGGGGACCATCGGAACGTCACCTTGGACGAGGTCAGGGCGGTGAGCGGGGCGGCCACGGTGCTGTAGCCACGGATGAACCGTCTGTAAAAGTTGCACGGAAACGCTGCAGCTCCTTCCGGGAATCAGGGACCCGCCACAAGGTAACTGCTGAAACTTTAGAGGGATCCATCTCCACACTTCCTTGACCCACGATGTAGCCAAGAAAGGCGACCGAAGAAGTGTGAAACTCGCACTTCTCCATCTTGACAAACAGCGAGTTCTCCAGAAGTCTCTGGAGGACTGTCTGGACGTGATGGACGTGTTCCTTGAGGTTCCTTGAAAAAATCTAAATGTCGTCCAGATAAACAAAAACATAACGATCCAACATGTCCCGGAGTACGTCGTTCACCAACGCTTGGAAAACTGCAGGGGCGTTGGTAAGTCCAAATGGCATCACCAGGTACTCGTAATGTCCCGAAGAGGTGTTGAAGGCGGTCTGCCATTCGTCCCCCTCACAGATTCGTACCAGGTGATAAGCGTTTCGTAGATCCAGCTTAGTGAAGATTGTAGCCCCCTGTAGTAACTTGAATGCTGACGAGATGAGTGGCAGGGGATAGCGATTCTTCACCGTGACGTCGTTCAGACCCCGATAGTCAATGCAGGGTCTCAGGGTCTTGTCCTTCTTCGCCACAAAAAAAACCCCTGCTCCTGCGGGTGATGTGGAAGGACGAATAATTCCCGCAGCCAGAGAGTCATTGACGTAAGTCTCCATGGACTTCCTCTCCGGTGCCGAAAGCGAGTACAACCGGGCCTTGGGTGGGACTGCGCCTGGATGTAGCTCAATGGTGCAGTCATAGGGCTGATGAGGTGGGAGAGATGTCGCCTTAGCCTTGCTAAAAACCCCCTTAAAGTCCAAATATTCTGCCGGAACTCCTGTGATATCCGGAACCAGGTTCATTTCCACAGATAGTTGAGGTGCGGCGGCCTGCTTGAGGCAAACCTGATGACAGGAGGAACTCCAACCTAGGATGGACCCAGTTGCCCAGTCAATGTTCGGGTTGTGGCAGCGGAGCCACGGATAACCCAACATCAGAGGAATTTGGGGGGACCGTAGCACATGAAACTGGATTGTCTCATGGTGGTTCCCCGACATGAGCATATGGACCGGTGTCGTCTGGTGTGTCACCGTTCCCAGCAGGTGACCATCCAAAGCATTAGCCGGTACCGGCTGGAGCAGCCGAACCTGTTGGATGCCCAGCTGTAGTGCGAGCTCCTCGTCAATGATGCTAACATCTGATCCGATAAAAGTCGATAAAAACAGCCAGAGCCTGAGATTTGCCTGTCAGGAGGAGTCGAGCATGGCACAAGGGTCTTAGATTGGGGATCAGCTCAGAGGTTTGGCCCACCAGTATACTCCCCATTACTGATGAGTTCTGCCTTTTACCGGACAACGGGAAACCATATGTCCAGCCTGACCACAGTAAAGGCAAAGATTACCTCTTCGACGTAATCCCTCTCCTCAGAGGTAAGACTGGTACGACCCACTTGCATGGGCTCGACCTCCCCGTACCGTGAGTCAGAGTAGGAATGGGAATTCTCCGCCGAAACCGGAAGTCGAAATCTCCCGGAAACCGCAAGTTGGCGTCTGTTGCTCTCCCCTCCGGGTCTGGATTCGTCTGTCAATCCGAGAGGTGAGCTCAATCACCCATCCAAGGAAGCAGGGAGATCATAGGAAACCAGCTCATCTCTCATATAATCCGCTAATCCTCTCAGATATGCGTCACACTGCGCCGGCTCGTTCCAGCTGCTGCGGCGGCTGCTGGTGCGGAAGTCAATAGCGTAATCCACCACCATGCCGGAACCCTGGCTCAAACTCAGCAGACCTCCGGCAGCGTCGGGACCCAGACGAACGGAACCGAACACCCTCCGCATCTCTGCGGAAAATGCAGCAAAAGAGGCGCAGGCTGGAGTCTGCTGCTCCCACTCTGCAGTTCCCCATAAACGGGCTCTCCCCGTCAGATGGTTAACGGTGAAAGCTACACGAGCCGCCTCGGAGGCGAAGGTGTGTGGCTGCAGTGAAAACAATATGGAACAGTTTGTGAGAAAAGGACTGCATCCCTCAGGCTCACCAGCGTAGTGTTCCGGCGTTCCCACACGAGGCTCCGGAGCGTATCCAGTCGGGCCAGGGGCTGGAGCGAACATCGGAGCTGTGGGCGGAGGGACGGTAGCAGCCATGGTAGCGGCTAGCTGTTGTACGGTGGCGGCCATCTGTTGCATCTGGGAGGTAAGGTAAGCCAGCGTTTGTCCCTGGGTTGAGGTTGCCTGGTGGGTCTCGGTAGCTAAGGTAGCTATCGTGACTTCCTGTCTCTGGATGGCATCCTCAACCCTCTCAAAGCGGTCTCTAGGAGACCCGGTGTTTGCTTGGTCCATTTCTGGCCAGATCGTTCTGTCACAAACGAGCTGAGGACCAAAATGCACAACACAGGAAACCAGGGATAGTCGGTAACCAGCTTTATTGAAGGCAATAGGCTGGTAGGAGACAAAACGGCAGATAGTAGGCAAAGGGCTGGTCGGGGACAGGCGAGGGTTCCAGGAGAAAGCAGGACGGGAGTCGCAGGTACAGAACGGGTCAGGGAGCAGATGGGTGTAACAGAGTGAGAGAGAGAGACAGGGTGTGACTATCAGGTGACTAAGGAATGTTAATGCAGAAAATAGGTGAGTGAGAAAGCAGACTGTGACAGCGCGGCTAGTTCTGTGTGCTGCGTGTGGCTCTCCATCTATAAACAGAAGGGTATATGAGGTCTGGCAGCATTCAGGGAAATGTGCAGCGGAGCCCCTCCCTCGACTCATCTTTCCTCATCCAACCTCAGAATTGATATTCTCCCTCCAGCAAAAGGAAGAACCATCTTGGCCTTTCATTTTCCAGTTCAGGGCTTTCCTTTTTTTGCAGATAAATGCTCTCCAATCCACCCTGACAGATGTCACATTGCATCACTTCCGTTTTGATACGTAGCCTCTGATCCTGCCACTTGCAATAAGGAGTCAGCACCAGGGATGCCCCTCCCTAGACAACGCTCTGACACGGAAGATTATTTTAAAGGTGCATCATTGGAGGTGCTGAGTGCCGAAGCCCCAGCCGGGCGGCGAATCCCGAGCACTCTGCCGTGCCCGATGCAGGATTGTGGGTTAGGGTTGTGTCTGGGTCAGAGAACGACCACAACACGACACACTCAGTAGTCGTCACTTGTCACCCTGACTTTGTGCAATACTTCTAGCAGGGATTTCTACCGCTCTCTACCTCTTCATAGCAGCAGCCGCTAGTCGTGTTTCTCGCTCTGTGTTTCCACTGTGGCTTCACAGGTCAGAGCTGGAGAAACAATCTGTATAAAGGGAAGGTTTTAGTGCTTCTGCCGCCAACAGAGACTCTCTGCACTGCAGCATTAATCATACAAGGCCGGAGTACATCAGTAAACACAGTGTGTCAGGTCAAGGTAAAGATCAGATCCCACAGCATTTAACAGAACTCAATAGCATACACGCTATCTATTGAAAATTCAGCGTTATTCATGGCATGTCTCCTAGCCTCCGATGCTCGCAGGAGAGACACGCCATTGTTCACTGAAGAGCATACTGAAATATTTCTCTGGCTACACAAAAAACACTGGATCAGCAGCAATTAGTTGAGTAAGAGAGTGATAAAGAGAGGAAAGGAAGGAGGCATTTGAAAAAGAATGAGGTTGAAAAATGTGGAATCAGCGAGAGAAAAAGGGAAGCAGGAGAGAGAGAGAGAGCGTCAGTTTCCAGCCTCACAGTGTGGTGTGTAGGAGGTTGGAGCCTAGAGCCCCTGGTGCTTTTAAGGACCAAAGACTTGCTCATTGTCTTTGTGTGTGTGTGTGTGTGTGTGTGTGTGTGTGTGTGTGTGTGTGTGTGTGTGTGTGTGTGTGTGTGTGTGTGTGTGTGTGTGTGTGTGTGTGTGTGTGTGTGTGTGTGTGTGTGTGTGTGTGTGTGTGTGTGTGTGTGTGTGTGTGTGTGTGTGTGGTGTGTTGTGTGTGAAATCTCTTCATTAGTTCTCCCATTGCTCTTCCCCCAGCCCCTGACCACTCACTTAGCCCCAGCAGCTACAGTACACTATGTGCCCATGTGGGACTAAACCCAGTTACTGTATACTAGAGATTAAAATGATCAGTCTTGGAAGAGAGATAATGCAATGTGACTCAAGCCCAACCAGCGTTGAATAGAACAAGACTATATCTGTGTTTGCTTCCGTGGAAAAAAAGACACTTGCTTTAAATTAAACTCAAAAGAACAATGAACGACATTTCACTTCTGTATGTTCTTAAGTTATAATTTAACCTTTTTGTCTCTTTGTCTTGTTTTGTTCCAGAAGACAGGAAGTTGTTTGTTGGGATGCTGAACAAACAGCAGACCGAGGAGGATGTTTACCGCCTCTTCGAACCCTACGGAGTCATCGAGGAGTGCACAGTCCTAAGAGGTCCTGACGGAAACAGCAAAGGTAGGTAGCCATAAAGTTGTCAGCATTATTTAGGTCACTGACAGAAGAAGTGACAATGTGAGTACGTGTCTAAGTCAGCTGGGGTACGGAAAATGTATGTGACATATGTCCCAGATATAGGTCAAATGGCACATAATCACACACATTCTAATGCCATTCTAGTTGATGTGCTAGCCAGAAGCAGGCAGGGAACAATAGTAAAGCCAATGTATGTCAAATACATTTGATTGATGTATGTCTTTTATAATGATCATGTATGACAGAAGATGAGTGAATCATTTCTTTGACTTTTTCTTTTGTTCAATTGGTAAAGAATGTTAAATTCTTGCGGCAGCAGACTGTCAATGATTGAAGTATTTTAGAATAGAATATATCTTTATTGTCATCATACAAAGTACAACGAAATGTATTTGGCAACTCTCACTGCAGTGATCTTGGCATGTTTTAAATATAATCTTTGTTTGAAGACAGACAGGGCAGATAACATATATATTTATGTTTAATATGTTTTAAAATCCAAAGGCAAGATAGAAAACCAAGACTCTCAAGTTATATGGTAGAAACATCCTTCTTCTTTTAAGGTAATTGTGAACCCATCAAATATAGCAAGGATTCATAAAATGCTAGTCATTTTTTAATGCTGAGTTTGCCATTACAAACTCTTGCTCAGCACTCTTTTCTGAAAAAACTCTGCATTTCAAAGCCAGGATTTCTATTCTGTCACAGTCCTCATTTTCTTTTTGTCAGTGTTAATTTAAAGCATTTAGTCCTATGTATGTACTGCAGGCCCTTACTGTTGCTCCGGTACTGTGTTGATATCTTGCAGGCGCTTTTAAGACAGCCAAAAACTTTTTGAAGACATCAATTCCCTTGACACGCAGTAACGAGCCCATTCCCCAGCCAGCGCTTAAGGAAATTGTTGTGGAATTATATCTAAGGGGGTTTGAAGCCAGAGCGGTCTGACTGCCGTGGTTTGGAGGAGACAGGAAAGATGGATGTCAAAACGATTCAAATGTCCCTGCTGTGAGGACGGGGCAGCCAAGAGAGATGCAAGGGCTGCAAAGCAACCATGTACATTTACTCAGTACAATTCCCAAGTACTCAAGCCCTACTTTACATTAGTATTCACTTTGTATGCTACTTTATACTTTTACTCCACTGAAATGTAAACATTTCTTGCAAATTAGTATTTCCTCTCTGTGGTATTGCTACATTTAATTTAAAGTAAACATTGGTCCCTGAACATTACATTTCTCTTTGTGGCTCTAGAAAAAGTACACTCTATCTAAGCTCTATCACATTTTCTAATAAAAACCTGGAAGAATAAAATACCTTGTTGACAAAAACAGGTTTTGTGTTGCACAAAATCCAATTTGTGCCGACATGACTTTAAGTTTAATAGCAGAAAAGGTTTTGTTCTCTAGTTCTTGCACAGTTGTGTGTGATGCACACTGCAGGTTTCACAGTTTATTAAAAGTTAAATTCATAATTATATTGGCATAGTTTGTACTGCTCCAGCAAAGTCCTTGTACAGGTCATGCTGATCTCTAGCTCTTTTCTATCCATATCTCAGTAGGAGGTAGTGGTTTGACAGCTGAATGGGCATCTTGATTGGCTGGTGTCCACAGGGGTAAGCCCATTAAGAGCGGAAGAATGGCAGGGCTGCTGGGTCAAGCAGTACAGATGATAAGAAGAATAAAGTATGAAAGATTAAATGAGAATAGAAAAGAAACTTAAAATGAAATTAGGTGAAATAGGGTATAATTATAAATGGGGATGGCGGCTCAGGAGTTGGCCCTGCTGCCTCACGGCAACAGACCCCTGTTCAGTTGTAACAGCTTTTTTGGTTTCCTCCTAAAGTTTAATTGACTTTATCCAGAGACTTCAAATCTGCACACACATGTAGCATTTAGACTGTGTGTAAATGTGTTAGTGGTCTCCTTTCTTCCTTCAAGCCTTTATTAAAAACAGTGAATGAATAAAGTATAATTAATAAATTACCATAAGCTAACATCATTACTATTCCATTGTTCCATATGTAGCTAGACGTGTACTTACTGTACATATTATTCTTGAAAATAATTACAATATTTATGAGTATATGTTTAAGAATCATTTTGTGGCAGTAAGTTGTAGTATTTCTAAAGGAGACCAAATGTACAGCTTTAAATCAATCTTCTGTTAGCTTTAAAAGGGGGCCATACTCCAGTTTAGTGATTGAATAATTCATGTGCAACAGCTCACTTTGTAAACCCGCAAAAGCCATCTTCAACTTGTTTTCACTTGATCTAATCCTCACAGTATTTCTAACAGACATTAGAGCTAAGAGAGTGGGTTTTGTGGTTCCTGGCCTTTTGGACAGACATCATCATATTCACAGATATTAATCCTGTTGTGGGAACGATACACTGTACTGAGTAGTTCGCAAATTGAGTGCTTTTTAAATGTAAAACATTTTAGTCTTGAGTGTAGCCAGTTCAGCTAGTATTTAATATGCACAGACAGGCATGTGGTGCTAAATAGCATGTTTTTCTGCTTCATCAGTGCAATCTTTAGCCTACAGCTTCTGCCTGCCTAATGCCCGGAGTGGGGCAGCCTGCTGTGCAATGAGAGCCTCTCGCTGCACAGTGATTTCCGTGGTGTCAAATACAATTCAACATTCTTTATTAATATACCGTAGGCTTTTAATCTCACTCGATTGAATACATTTACTGCACATAAACTATGTGTGCCTGTGTGTGTACCTGCATGTGTGTGATGTGCTTCTGTTCTCTCTTCCAGGTTGCGCATTTGTCAAGTTCTCCACACATACTGAGGCTCAGTCTGCAATCAGTGCCCTCCACGGTAGCCAGACCATGCCAGTGAGTACAGCTCTCTCCCTTATCAACATATCAACATATCAAAACAACTGAGAAACATACACACACATCCATTGCATGCACACCTACACACTGACTAAAATAGCTATGTGCAGTCTTTATTTAAAGGTCCCCTACTGTTTTTCATCAATATATTATAGGTCTCAGATATATACAAACATGTCTCTGAAGTGTTTGGCTCCAAACACCAAACAGATCATTGCAGCATCCCATAATCCCCTCTGTTTCAGCCCTGTTTAAAAAGTGCTGATTCTCTGTCTGTTACTTTAGATGAAAATAAGGAGCCACTCCCCACGCCCCTCTGAGAGAGATTTGGTTAAAAATAACACAATGGTGCTCTAGGAGGAGATTCAGGTGATAAGGGGGGGGGGGGGGTTACTTTGGTTGGTGATGATGACATCATAAAGTGGCCAAAATCTGATCAGCTTATTTTCTATGAATGGATCAGGACACAAAGTGAGAGAATCTTTTTTCCTGATACTTTCAGAATCTCTTTACACAGAGGGGACACATGTTTATGTATAACATACATGAAAAAGTGGATGTTGCATGATACAGTAGGTGACCTTTAAAGCTCTGACCTCTTTTATTTTTACTTTCCCCCAACTTTTAATCAATTTATAAAATGCTACCATCCTCACCCAGTTTTAAAAACAGATAAAGCCCGAAATAGCCTCCTGTCTCTTTAATTGGCCAAAAATAAAATTCCAAATCTAATTTCCAGATAGAACTGTTTAGAATGATAATTGAATTTTGGGTGAGTCATCAATCAGTAGTTCTGCTTGCATAATCAGTGAATATAACTCCAGTGTGAGATTACATTTGCTCGTTATGTAAGCACACTGAATCCTCTGAATTCTGTCTGTATTGGATTTACTATGAGCGCAGAGGCTGTACGGCTCATTTGCCTCATGTTTAGGCATACTGCCTGTATACCTGATGGTTTCAAATAAAAGCTACTTATTCTGCTCTCCAAACCTGAATAGAGTTATTTTCCGTGACATTCGGCTAACGGACAGTCACATCCCATATTATACGGTCGCATTTAAGTATACGTTTTTATCCTCATTTTTTGTTTCGGGAACTCTCGCCTCAGAGAAGCAGGGACCCTGAACTCTCTCCTATACCCTATCTCACAGATGTTGTGTTTCACTGTATGATTTCATTTTCAATGGTTGCCAATGTGTGGCTCAGAGCAAAGCATAGAGGAGGACTAGATGCCGGCTGTGCCATTTTGGCCGCAACCTCTGAGTCAATCTAAGTGCAAATGACTGCAGGTCATGAGAAAAGACTCTGGATGTCCATTCTCCATAGATACCCTCATCCTTTGTTGCTCCATTCCCCTATCTCTGCTAGCTCTCTGCCCTCACTCGTCTCTCTTTGGCAGCCTCTCGGGATATTAGGCAATAGACTTGTTTACTCCACCTTTCACCACATTGGCTGCTGAATTATTCATCTAACTATAAGCAGGGGGCAGAAGGGAGGGGGCGAGAGTTGGGGAGAGAGACAGAGAAAGGGGGGGGGGTGAGGGAGAAGGAGTGAATGGACAGGATTTATACCTCCTGCTCTGGTAAATTGATTATAGAAATCTGATCAGCATCTCATATCCTGTGGCTGCTGGAGGAGAGAGCCCAGTGTGCCTGCCTCGCTCAGATTAGCGGACCACCAGTGGGCCATTACGCCTCAGTGGGACTCTGCTATTCACAGAAAAGGGTCTATCAATGTAGCAAACATCCTGGAAAAACCTTGGACCATACATCCTGTATTAATTTGAGTTTTTTGATTGCAGTTGAGTCACAGCGGCAAAACTAAGTCACGTACAAGTACATTGATGGACTGAATATATAAATAATCTTTCATTTGCACTACTGGATGCATTCAAAAATGAATACATGAATAAAGAAGTGAAACAAAAGAAAATAGACTATTGACAGCTACAATGCAGGATGCATACAGAACTGAACTTATGAAGGCCATCCATTGCCTGCAACTGTTTTTGGGGAATCATCTAATTCTCACTTCTCCAGGGCTAATAGAGATGATTAATTGTTCTAATGAAACAAGGCAAACTGAGCCAGTGTGTGAGTGAGTGTGAGTGTGTGTGTGCATATTTACTGCCTTCCAAGGCCGTGTCTGTTGAGCAGACTCAGAGAGATGACCATGAATAAAGTCCAGCCAATAGCGTTGCAAGCTGAGGTGTTAAAGTGCACTGAATATTAACACTGCGACTAACTACAGAAGTTTGATAGATCTACTGCCAATCCCCCAAAGCATGAGCACTGGCTCCTTAGAGTTTATGAGTGTGCACACACACGCACACACGCACATGCGTGTGCATACATAAACATGTACAAACAGAAGCACTTTGTGGCTAGCACATTTGCATCAGCCCACACACACACACACACACACACACACACACACATACATACATACATACATACATACTATTTCTATATTGCTTCTCTCTCTGTTTCACTGTCACATGCTCGTACAGCCACAGGCTAGGGTCAAAGGCTCCCTGACTGATCTTATTTTCCAGTTCGCAGGACTTGGGCTGAATATATTTGTGTTATTCATGTAGAGGGGGAGTGGGCATTTTGTATGTATTGTAAGTGCGATTCGGGAAGGAAATTGGAAAATGAGAGAATGTACGAGTGTAGATAAATGACGATCAGAGCATGCACAAATATACTCTACATATGCATACATGTGGGGGAGCATATATGCTTCTGTGAACTCATCCAAATGAAAAATAATCTGCCAAAACTAACTACGACATAATGTCACTGCATGAAGGATGATGGCAAGATAGTGTAAGTGTGTGAGTCATATGAGTGCATCCGCAGGTCACATATAAGACCTTGGCTGGATCTCCATCACACCCTAACCCATCATATTTCAAGCGTGCATACCTCTGCCTCCTATACACACCACCACTATCTCTCAGCCAGCGTTCTCACACACACACACACACACACACACACACACACACACACACACACACACACACACACACACACAGCCACTGTTCAGAGTATGAGTGGCTCAATTAAACATTTAAACGCCAGAGCTGTAAAGCAAATTGCCGGGATTCAGCAGGGTCATGTAGGAAGTAAGTCCCGGGACAGAATTACATGGGGGGGGGGGTTGTGGGTCAGGTCCGCAGAGCCGTGATGATTTTTTCAATCCGTATCCGCGTCAGCTCAACCGGGGTTTGAGACTGTTTTCGCTGACATAGGGACTGACACAGAAATACTGGAGCAGGATAATGGAAGGATAAGAGCAGAACAAAGGAAAGTAAATGAGGTGAAGTTTGCATAGAAGAGAGAGCTGGATGATTGAGAGTGAAGAGAAGAGCAAATAGGGTAAAAATAAACATCCAAATGTGATTCCCAAGCTGCTGGATCTTCTCCATTACTTCAGACAGAGAACACACACATGCAACTGCTGTGAGTGCCAGGATTTAACACTCAGTGTGTCACTGCCTTAAATAATGACAAAATAAAGAGATGGTGGAAAGGCAAAACATGCTGCAGATAGCCCAGTAAATACTGTAAAGGCTGCTTTAAGTCAGGAAACAGTAATGATCTCATTGTGTAGTCAATGAGATGCAGAGTTTTAATGTCAGTTTTTCACGAGGATGATATATCTCCGTGCTGCTATTCATTAAACAACGTTCTGCCTTTATATTTTTAAGTTAATGTGTATTGTTTAAGATCTGTCATCTCCCCCACAAGTATTTCTACCCAGGCAATTTACATTCTAATAACCTCATAGATTACAGTCATCCATTATTTTACTAGCCAAGCTCAAAGACGATGTGTATTCATGACTCCTTTGGTGGAGAAGATTAGTATAGTATCATGCAAAGGACATCAATTATAAGATATATACTGTAGCATCTAACTGCATATGCAGCATCAATAAAAAAAATTAAAAAAATACATTTCAAATGTGACTGCGGGAATCTTGTGACATCTGAAGAAATGTGAAACCCACCATAATGTCAAAACAAACATGTCAAGTGGTGTCTAGGTGAGCATCACATGCTACGCTCTCATGTTCCTGATGGAAGCACTCTGGTCGAATGAATTTTTAATATAAAGTTGTAACTTTGTGAATATAAAATCATGTTTTAACTTTTAATGTATGGTAAGCAATGCAGGCAGAATATGAGGCCATATGTTGTGGAGGAACAGACAGCTTTAGTGGCGATACTTTCTCATTAAAATAGTTTTTTTATCTTTCAGGCAGGGATGAAAATATGTCTTATGGTAAAAAAATGTATATAAGAAAGATGGGATGTATGTCTTGTTTTTTGTTTTTGTGCTAGCAGTTTTACAGACTGAGTCATAGGGTGACTAACCCAAGCAAACTGGGACGACATGAAGGCCTTCACCATGTGACTCTTGAAACCAATACAGGATCAGATTCCTTTCTAGCTCTACTCTGCACTAATGCAAGCCTGCATATGTTTACAGTTAAATAAGTAAGGGGTGTAGAGCTTGGTCGGCAGCTTAGACAGACTCCGACCTTGGCAATGAGAAGGAGGTGTAGAGAAGCAGACTTTCCTTTTGGTTCTGGGTCTCTGTAGGGACTTTTTTTATCCTCCCTGTTTAGCTCCCCTTCCTTCAGTTGTTCTCTAGGCAGCTGGGAGCCGCCTGGCAGGGGGATTCTGCTCACACTTGGCAGCTTAAACATTTAATGAGACTTTTACTTCACACTTCATCCTGCTCTCTTTATAGCAGTGGCGATTCTACTCACTGATATCCTGACAGGCCTAACTGGGAAAACCTGGGAGATAAACAAATGTGGCATTGGATGCTTGGCCAATAAACCATATGATTCAGGTGTCCTAGGGAGAACCAGCAGGAGGGAAGAGTCAGTGTATGGACTTCCATTAAAGATGCCTTGCAGAGAGTGGGACATACATGAGAAAGTATGAAAGAAAGGGCAAAAGGCTCTTATACAACTTAACATGTCAATTCACAATAAACCATGTTTCTATCATCCAAGCAGGCACACTCCAGTCTAATCCTGATAGAAAAGAGGTTGACTTCAGTGTTTCAATTTAATACCCTCAGATTATAAAACCCAGCCTTCCCCAATAAATTAGCAGAGTAGGAACACGCAGCTCTCATTACCAAAGAAGGTAGACCTTTAATAGCTTTTTCTTTTCTCTTTTTTTACTGTGAGAAGGAGTTCGAGTATTCATTATGTACTAGCACATCTCCTTTGTATTCTGGTCATGCTCTGCCATGTCCTGGACTCTCCCAAAGTTAAACCTCATAATAAAGTTAATGATGCAGATGGTAAAAAGCTGGACCGACACAACAGCCAAACCCTAAACCAGTAACTGTGCCAAGGTTAACATTGAGGTGACCGAGCATAGTCTATGAGATGTTGCTTACGAGATTGAGAAACTCAATAATATCTCTTTATAGATGATGTTCTATCTCTTGTTTCTATCCTGTTTATTGTAGAATCATACAGAACGCTCAATGGCCAGGAATAATGTTGTTCTGGAGTGACAGGAATGGAATGACACTCGCAACACTGAGGGAAACAATTAGTCAATCAGCTGTACAGATGTCAGCCGGCTTGTCAGTCTAACGAATACTACAGTCCGTCAGCCAGTTAGCAAGCCATCTAGCCACCTAGCATGCCAGTCAATCAATCACTCCACTAACTAGACAATAATCAATTTGGTCAGGCAACCAACTAACTGGCGTCTCACCTACGATCCTTCAAACCTGTGATTCAACCTCTGTAGCAAACCAGGAGGAGAGGGCTTGGGGGAATATTGAAAAAACAGGGGGGGAAATAGACGATATAATCTATATGTTACAGTCGGAAGATCCCGTGCCTGTCTTCGAGCATCTCTATAAATGTCTTCATTAGCAGATCTCTACAGACTCAGTCAGAATATGCAAACAGAGACAAATAAAAACTTGATAAATAATTAAAGTATTGTAATTTTGCTGCCCATTTATAACTGCTTGCCTAGAGTCCAACACAACTCCCACATGGATACCAAACCAAGAAACCCCCCATGTAGCCCTTTAAAAGCCCCATCCCCCAACCTTCAATCCAGCCACTTCACCAGTCACCACTGTTATTGACAATCCTGCACCAATTTCAGGGGGCCTCTTATCATGACTGACACACAACCTTTCTACACTGTCAGATCAGAGTAATATTTCGGCCTTTTATGTGGATCGATTGGCCAGTTTGGGGGCGCAGAGGGGAGAAGAGGCGGAGCACACAAAAGGTCAACTATAGCGCTAAATCATTTGAAGATTCTTAATGAAGGGTGTGTGGCAGACACACCTGCTGTTTTCATTATTGGGCTGCAGGAAGAGGTAATAGTGTTGATAAGGAAGCCACATAAAGCAAGGGGAGGCTAAACAGAGGGCAGAAAGAGGGACATTGCCCTAAAAAGCCACATTTCCTTTGAAGACCACTTTCACTAAGGTCAATAGGAAGCACTGCCAATTGTAGCTCTTCCTTCAAATCATTGTATATTGCAGATCTTTTAACCTAATCTGTGGGGAGGAGCACCAAGGTTACATATATGTACTGTACCGGAGTAGGGAAGCTGGGGGAAACATAAAGTATTTATGTCATGCACAGCGAGGCTTCTCTGCCCTGAGTGACTTTGTAAATGTTAAACACTGATTGAAAAAACGGAAGGTTTCTGTCTGCACATCTGCCTACAGAGCTGTTCGCTCAGTAGTGAGAATATTTGTATTCTTCCCATATCTCTCTTAGGTTCATGTTTATGTATGCCAGTCGCAAAATGAGGAGGCACAATTCCCTGCAATAATACAAATGTGCAATGATGTTTCATCTAGAAGGCCAAAAAAGAAAGCTCTGACATGCAATTAGATGATCTCACTGGATATTGATGTCATCACCGGTTGTTGTTGCTAATGATCATGGCATACAAAACAAATCTGAAATAACAACAAAGACCATTCTTCATGCCCTTGTATTGAACCTTTTTAAGCCTTTTGTTGTGGTTGCTTTCTCTAAATACTTGGTAAATCCTAACAGTCACAAATCCAAAATAATTCCTGATGTGGCTAAGCCTTTTTGGGGATAGAGGATGAAATGATGTTATTGTTGAATGACTGAGCCAGTGTTAACATCCCAGGTTAAGTGTCAATGTTGTTTTTCCTCAGATCTTCTGTTTCTCTCTCGACCCTCAGGGTGCGTCCTCCAGCTTGGTGGTCAAGTTTGCTGACACAGACAAGGAGCGCACCATCAGACGTATGCAGCAGATGGTTGGGCAGTTTGGCATCTTCAACCCCGCCATCGCCCTCCCCTTCAGCACCTACAGCTCTTACGCACATGCGGTGAGTGCGAAATGATACACACAGAACCACTGAAATAAAAACACATTCAATTTAACATACAAATATGTGCTGACTGAGGCTACAGTAGACCCTTGTAGGAATGTAACTACAATACAGTAGGTTGTGTCCAGGATGTTGGGATTCTGCTAAATCACATTGTTCTACAAGGTCCTTTCGAGCTGCTATAATTGGGTATAAATAATGTAATTTTATACTAACAATGGTTTAAATGACTACGCTTATGTGAAAGGTGCCATCCACAGAGAATTACAACTGGACTCTGCAGTTCTTCTCAGTTCTATTAAGTATTTAAGTGTCTTTAGGCCCATTGTTCTGGTTTTGTGGCTATACAACTTAAGTGTTTAGGTTTATACTCACCGCTCTCATTGCGTCATTTTCAGCTACAGCTGGAAGCTCTTTCTGTCAAAAGGATATACATAACTTACTGTTCGCTACCTTTCTAAACTTCTGTCCCATGGATCGAACGGAAGGAAAGAGAAATGAATGCAGATCATTTCAATTTGACCTGTATTCCCCTTTGGATGGACAGTGTATTGCTGAGGTGGGACCGTAAACAACTTAGAACACATCACACATGGGACACACATTTTAACCCCTTTGACCTTTAGCTTGACTGTTATGTGGTCCAATTCATCAGCAAGCATTTTAAAAGAGGATATCAGTCAGTGAAATTTGTAACTTTTCTAGTAAATAGAACACAAAGACACGTGTGCACCCTACTTGGTATTCATTTCTGTAATTGAAATGAGCTTGTCAAACTATCATCACTTCATTCAGCAGCACTTCTTGGTCCCCTCCTTTTTATAAGCAGTGCTGCTATGCTTTTACATTCAGTCTATCACTACCCTCTGCACGTAATCACACACACATTTAGGTTAGCTGGTACCCTCCAACCCCTTCATCAGCTTCCCTCTGCCCTCCTATCACCGCCCACTGTCCCCCCCCCCCCCCCCCCCCCCCTCAGGGCATGGCACCATATTCACACAGCAGACCCCCGGCTCTTTGATGAGTTCAGACAGCCTATGCAGCCGCTCTCACCATGCGCCCCCTCCACCTTCTATCACACTGCTTCTCTCCCCTCCCCCTCTCCCTGTCCCTCCCTCTGGGCCCTTGAGAGGCTTCAGGGGCCACAGTTGACTCAGAATTTTCCATTGGCAACTTATCTGCACACAAACTTTCTTCTTCCCCGCTGAGGCAGAGCACTCACACGTACTGCCTTATGCACGTGCATGCACACTGTACTTGAAGCAGGCTAAAAATGAATTTAGGAGAAGCTTTCCATCCAGCACTTAGATAAAAAACCTGGGCCTCACACTGCATACTGTACATACACATAATCATCAGCAATGTGTTTACTCACAGAGAAGGAGTAAGACCAAATAATTTCCCCTGTACTCATTTGGATGTCAAAGTTATATATATTTCTCGCTGTTTCCAAATGCTAGGATAAATTGTTTCAAATAGCCAGGTCTTGGGGGCTTATCCGTTTCCCTCATTTTCACAGCCTTGAGACCCAGTCTGAAATGTGTAAATTGACCATCCCAGAGTAATTGCGAGGCCATCTCTTGTGCTCGTCCCAGTAAAACTCCCACCTTCATTACCATTCATGAAATGCAGCCCTTTCCCAGGGAATGTGGAGAAATGCAAATGTTTAAGGGGTGGTGGAGGCAGTGGCAGTCTACGAGGAGACCATTGTGCCCGCTCAGGTTGGCCATGACTCTTATTTACTGTGGCAGAGACCCGTGTCCACTCATACAGACGCACACAAGCGTGTACACACTCAGATGCACTGCGCAGCAAATGTTCTTTCTTCCCCCCCCTCTCTCTCTCCCTCTCATACACAAATACAATATGACAAAAAGCAGGATGACGCTAGGAAATTGAGTTCCGAGTGAAAGTAACAAGGGCACTGGGGATACTTCAGCATTAGAGAGAATCAATTACTATTACATCTAAAAGAGAAATTGCAGGTATGTGGTTGCTCGACACAAAGATTATACAGCATGAATGATGTTAGTGAAGGTGAGATTCTCCTTGTATTAGTATTACGAATTACAGAGACTGTGGGTGCCATGTACCTGCATATAATGAATTTAGCGAATAAGGCAAGCCGGTTAAGAAACTCTGAGGGAAAGCAACCTTGGAGATAAAGTTTTGATAAAGTAATGAGTGCTCCAGAGGCAGTAATGGATTATCAGCGAGGCCCTTGTTTTCATATCTAGCTAAAGACATATTTAATGAGTATAAATACTGGTTCCAACTGCAACATGCGCATAATGTGGAATAAAGGGAAATCTGAGTTATCTTTAGTGTGGGGGTCCTGCTTGTGCAGCAGTTATGATTAAATTACAGTCATGGCTGCATGTGTATGGTGTGCAGCCTCGATTCTTCTGTAGCCACCGGGAATGTGCTGAAGTGATACGGCGAATGTTTCTTTACTGCAAGATAAACTACACATATTCCCCCAAGAAGAAAAACCTGCAGTGACACAAAAAGGACTTTATCTCCAAAGACACACTACATGTTCGCCCACTCTCCTATACGCTGGCCAAGAGAAGAGGAGGTGGCACAGTATAGAATACAGACTTGGGGAGAGATGGTATATATAGCTATAACCAGGGAGTACAGTAAATGGTAAATTCAAAGAGCTACCTCTCCACTACAGCAGTGGATAGGATTAAAGAGTTGAGCTGACAGCGAGTAAATTGGATTTTAGTCAAACCAGGAGAAGGAGGGGTCTCTGAACACAAATTGGAGGGGTACAACACTCACAACATATGCCAGAAATGAGAAATGTGCCATTTTTACGATAGACACTGGTGTGCTCTGACAGGAGACATCCTATTTGCAAAAAGGTGATTTCATAAAACACAAGCGGAGGGTGAGCGAGCGAGTGGGATTCCTTGTTTCATTCCAGTGTTAGTAGTGAATGATAATAGTTCTCCCATGAATTGCTGAATGTGAGTAATAAAACCAGCTTTTATTACCTTTTGTATTCCCCCTTCACGACACAAACATCATATTTGTACATGATTAGATTTGATTCAAGTCACTTTTCTTCCTTCGTCTTTAAAGCCGTGTCTCTCTGGGAAGACAGCCATTTTAGCTTGGTCTCTTCAGGTGGAGGAATACATGCTGTGTCGCAGGAAAGGAGAGAAGTGTTAGATTTAAAGGCCCTCCGCACTGTGCCCCTGTTGCCTGCCTAAAAAGATACATTGGACTGAATGTAAGGTGGATAAACGAGAGGCGAGAAAATGGTTTAACTTGGCGCTATTAGTGACAATGTGTGGGAGGATGATGACTGTAAACTCACATTAGGAAACATCTCCCCCTGTTGGAGGGACTCGCATTCAAACGGCATCACAGCACACATGAGGAATGATGGGAACAGATTACTGCATCATTTAGCTGTGCTGAAAACGCAAACACACGTCTATGACCTGGTTTAGCTGTACTACACTTGTGAGGACTCGCTCTGCACACACAACAAAGTGCCTCCAATGAAATAACCTATTCAAATCTTTCCGTGGAAATACGGCCTGTCAGCATGGGGGTAACAAATGAGGCCCTTGAGCTTCAGTCTTCTGTCTTCAGTCCTTTTCTTCACCTCATTGACCTACTCTCTCCTCCTCTCTCTTATTTTTTCAACCTATTTCACCCTCTCACTCTTTCCTTCTCATTGTCTCTCTCTATCCTTTCTGCCTCTGTCCCCGGCTGGTTGTTCTATAAGGGGTCACATGTGACAGTGCGGAGAGTCAACGAGTCACAGAGCAGCGCTACAGAGATAATTGCCATGTGATAAAGAGGTGATTGCCTGCTGGCACCAGGGGAGAGTAATGCCATCAGGTTGCAATAAAAAAGCAGATGTCTGACACTAAATGAATGCTGCGGGAGCCCGGGAAACTTTCTTTGCTCCCTTTCATCTCACGCACTTCTCTTTTGTCCCCCTTGTTTCTCTCTGCCTTTTCTTCTCTCTTCCTTTCTTTTCAAGAGGAAGCAGAAAAGGTTGTGTCTGTGACGATGAAGACTCAGTTCGGCTCATTCTGCTATCTGCTGGCTGGTGCATAAATAAAGAAACGGGAATTGCTTTTGAATATAATGCCTTTTTGAAATGATGAAAAAGAGGGGGGGGAAAAAAGCATATACATATGAAAAGTAAAATGGAACGACTTTGAATATCTCTGTCAACATAACCACTCTGCTTGCTGCTCTTTCTTTCCTTTTTATCAGAGCCAGTTTGTATTAACCACTGCGTTCCAACATAATGATATGCTTTGGTTTCCAATTTGCTGCATTTGAATTTGGAACGAAGCGTCAATGAATGCCAGAGTTGTTATCCATGACAATCTGACGGAAGGCATTAAGCATTGCATTATCTAAAATATGCATTGGGAGAGAGGCTAGTCTTTACTCCTACTCCATGTTTACTCCATACAGGCTTGTAGCTTTTATAAGGCCACCAGGCCCACAACAAATAGACTGCAAGCCTATTAGAATTAGCTCTAAGTCCCCAGTATCAGCGAGCAGAGCCAGAGAAAAGACAAAAAAACAGCGAGTTTTTGTGACAGTTTATTTATTCTGTAATACCAGCCCAGTCGGCCTGTTCATCCTGAAGTCTCACCCTGTTCACATCCTAATGAGGGGGCAGTCACAGCATCGCCAAAGCAAGGCAGCCACAGACCCTCTAGACCTCTTTGTTTGTTTCTGTGTCATTGCTTTTGTTTAGTTTCTTGTTCCTTTGCTGTCTTTTACAGCTACGGCCCCTTAAAGGCTCAATTCATCTTATTTGGAAAGGAATGGATGATTCCCATTTGTCACAATGAAATTATGTAAATGACAAGAGGCGTTAATAGATAGCAGAGGCAAGGCATGTGGCTAATGGATGAGATGCCAGCGCTGGGCATTCTGCAGCAGGACAGCCGCTTTCAGGCTACCTGACAGGGGCACTGAGGGAAAATAATTGGCTTTTCCGTTGCCGGGTCCCCATGCAAATACAAGCAGAGTGGCATTCTCTACCCACAGTGTCTCACAATATCGTCATTAGCATTAGCGCCAGTGGCAGAGGAGTTTGATTTCTGCTTATACGAGTCATTCTCAGGCCACGGCCATCAGCAGCTCCCCTGACACGCAGCAACTAAGCAGCATTAACCAGATGCTGAGAGGTCGGTCCAGCTGTGTTTGTATTCCAACACCACACAAGTCTGCATCACTACATAGCCAGCAAAAGATTGTTGATAGACCCACTGGTTCACAAGCTGCAAAAGCCTTTGTACAATGATGGGTTTTCTTCGGAGTTAGGCATTTATGGTTTGCACAGGGAGAATTTAAGCTGAGTGCGGAAACTCAAGTAGAAAACTCAGTCGTTCCTCATGTCATTTTGTGTTTGTGTGTGAGTGCAGTGCAGGGCAGCGGTGCATGTGAGCATGAATAAACACACTGTGGGCTGCATTTGATGGAAAACATTTTCGGCTCTAACTTCTCACTTCATGCTAAGTAGTATGCAGAGTGAATGAAAGGCTATTGATTTATCTCTTTGTGGGATTGTCCAATGGTTGAAAATCGACCACCATTTCAATGTTCTGACTAACATACTGCACTACTAACATGGTGTGGAATTTAAGTTTCTTGCTACAAACAATCAACAAATATTCTTTTAATAAATCAGGGTCTGGATTCAGTGACAAGTCCATGATGTTGTTTTGGCAAATGTATGTCTCTAAAAGAAAACTATTAGACAAAAACTGCACCTTTTAATGATTTTCCAACTCTAAATGCATTCTTTTTGAAAAATGCCCTAACATTTTGGGAAACTAGCCCAGAGAAAGGCCTTGTGGTTTCTGACATAAATATGAAACAAAGCTAATTTTAAAGTCTGGGTGAATGTCAGGCTGCAGCAACCATTACAAATACATCAGAAACATCAGAGATGAGGCCGGGAAAATTATAGAACATCAAACATCTGCGGCAAACCTATTCAGCCAAAGTGAAGGGAAGGGAAGTTTGAAAATGAAATGAATAAGAAGTGAAACTCTTCTGCAAACGTTGCCTGTTCTCTGAGCAAGTATAATGTCCACATGTCAATGTCTTGATTTGTATGAGCCCAACCGACAGCTATTAAATCGTTTTTGCAGCTGGCGACAGGCTTCCTGCTGGGAGAATAGACAGATTCACTAAACATAGGTTGACAGGCTTCTTTTTTCTTCCCCTTCTTTTATTCCGCTCTACTTTCTCTGTACTTCCCATGCACTATCCATCCATCAACCTCAACATCCATCCCTCCCTCTGTTCTACCCGTTCTCTCTCCTCTCATGCTTCCCTTCTCCCATCTTTGTCCAACTCCTTCCCAACGTACTATATTTTTCCTTACCGTCTGTCCTCCCCTCACCTCTCTCGGAACCCCATTCTCCCCCCTGCTCTCTCCCAAACACCCCATCCACACCTCCCTCCCTCCCTCCCTCCCTCCCTCCCTCCACCCACCTCTCCGTGTCCCTCTTCTTTAGCTCATGCAGCAGCAGGCAGCCATCATGGCAGCAAGCCACGGAGGTTACCTCACGCCCAGCATGGCCTTCCCCGCCACACAGATCCACCAGATGGGGGCGCTCAACATCAACAGCCTCCAACACAACCCCATGAACCCGATGTCGAGTGAGTTCCATCAAACACTGGGTGAGCACTTTTGTTTTATTCCCTTTGCTTCTGTGTGCTTGTGTATGTGGGTTTTGTGGATTGAGGGTGGGTTATTATTACTACGAGCGAGTTTCTTGTTTGCTTGTGTTAATGTCTTACTGTTAGTGTGTGTAAGTGTTGAGTGGGTGTATTTTTTTTGTTCATACCAGCAGGGTTCTTTTAGGTCAACTTGTGTTTTTACAATGTCTGCAGGAATATTTGCATATGTGCATGTCTGTGTGTGTATGTGCGCGTGTGTATGTGTGCAGCGTGAGAATATAACTAGCACTGCAGCCAGGCCGAAAGGATACCTGCCTGCTCACTGGTTTTCAGAAGTGATTTCACTGGAGAGCAAGAAAGACCAAGATGAAAAACAAAGTCAATCGGATTTGCATGTTTATGTACTCGTTGGATGCAGAAATTATTTGGGTTAAGTAGCAGCAGAATAAGGATTCTCGATAAGTAAATTTAAAGATAAGGCACTAATTTCCCCATAGATTTTTGACCTTGCGTTTTGAAGCCCTAGCGCATGATCTGCATGCAGTTGGTTTTGTTTTCCATAACAAACACCTCCTATGCCGATACATTACAGAGGAAAAGGAGGGACTTTGAAATACCTACCCACTGTAACATTTGCTTATTCAGCAGTGCTTGGTTTTCCTTGAGACAGAGGCAACTTCAAGATTCTCCACTCAACAAAAGCATGAGCCGAAATAAATAATACAGTAACCAAGTCTTTGTTGTGCTCCGCTCACCTACTTTGTCAACACTGCAGTATTGAGTTTTTAAGGTGATGACTTTGGTAACTTTAAACCAATCAGTGAATGAAAGAGAGAGGGAGTGGAACAAGACCTATCTTAGATTTTCTTTATAGCCATCATAGAAATCTTTACTACAAGCTTGCTGCACTATATCAAATTCTCTCTGCACTGTGTTCCTGTGGGGAAAGAAAACATTCTCTTAAGTCTGTATTGTGTTCCGTACTTTATTCACAGACTCAAAGAAAGGGCAGTTTTTGTTGTTCACACACTGTTTTTGTGCTTACCTTACTTCACAACAGTCAGTTGAATTACAATAACCAGGACAGACAGCAGACCAGGTGTGGAAAGGCTACAGGACACCTATTAACCTTTAAATCATTCATGCCAAATGAACGCATGTGCATAAAGTGAAATGTTGGAACATGCTGTGTTTGTACAGTACATCCACAATCATTTTCTACTTTGAGCAATATATCTAGAGAGGGGATCCATTTGTCAAATATTCACAGTGATGTTTTCAGTGCAAAGCGTGCACTTTTGTGCGGGCCTAATCAATCAGAGACAGTGATTAAAAGTGGAGCTCAGTCTTGCCGCGAAGCCTCTTTTTTGATGGGCAAAGCACTGACAGTATGACAATTCAGATCTTTGTGTTCTGCATGCATACCTATATTTTGCAACACAATAGTGCTGATGAAAGATTGTGCAACTCTATTGCAAGGAACTATGTGTGTGTGTGTGTGTGTGTGTGTGTGTGTGTGTGTGTGTGTGTGTGTGTGTGTGTGTGTGTGTGTGTGTGTGTGTGTGTGTGTGTGTGTGTGTGTGTGTGTGTGTGGTGTGTGTGTGGTGTGTGTGTGTGTGTGTGTGTGTGTGTGTGTGTGTGTGTGTGTGTGTGTGTGTGTGTGTGTGTGTGTGTGTGTGTGTGTGTGTGTGTGTGTTGGAGCCTTTGTCCGCCGGTCTGATTGCTTTGTGCTGTTTTGTGTCTCTTTTGTAGCCTCTCGAAAGACAAAATCAGTGCATTGCTGTAAAGAAAATATTGCTGAATTTGTGGGATATTCTCTTGAATCTAATAAGAAGGAACATTTCGGGAAATGCTGTATTCTGGAAAAGTAAAAGCCAATAAAATGTATTGTTGTATGTTAGAGAAGTGAATTTCATTTCATTTCAAACCTTTATTTATACAGATAAATCCCATTGAGATCATTGATCTCTTTTCCAAGGGAGACCTGCTCAAGTAGTTCCACATGAAACATAAAAACATAAATAGAACAACAAAAGGACATCATACAGCATCATTTACATAATTATCCACATAAACAGGTACCAATAGCTTCCGATTGACTAGCATCCAACCGAGCTTTAAAAACATTTAGTGGCACCAGATTGTTCAGTTTCCATTTAATTTGCAGACTATTCCAAGACAGAGGAGCTGCGCATCTAAAAGCTGTCTTCCCTAAGACAGTCCTAGCAGTTGGCACATTTAATAAAACCACAGCATTCGATCTCAGGCAGTAGCCACTTACAATTTTCCGTGAGATCAGGGAGCAGATATAAGATGGAAGTTTCCCTAACATGGCTTTGTATATAAAAAGGTACCGGTGACTGAGCCTCCGTACAGTTAGTGAAAGCAAACCAGCCCTTGCATACAGGGTACAGTGATGGGTTAATGCTTTACAGTTTGTCACAAATCTCAGTGCACTGTGATACGCAGCATCTAACTTGACCAGGCAATTGGCAGGTGCATTCATATACATCAAATCACCATAGTCCAGCACAGGTAAAAAGGTCACAGTGACTGAATGCCTCTAAGTCTATGAATCTGATGTGTGATGTGGTGCCATGTATCTGCTTTTGGACATGCTACTGTGTGAGCTACAGTTGGCTGATTACCTTTTATTATTGAAGGTAATATATTATTAATCCTTGAGAGAAGCATGGCTTTCGTGAATTCTCAACGACCATCATAAATATGAAATGTTTTATTTCCACTTTCTCCATTCATTAATTTGAATGTGGCTGCCAGCAGCTGCAGGATTGCTAGTGTAGCTCGCTGCTTTGGTTTACACAGCCATTGTCTCTCTCGATTTTCACACTTGTGGCTATGACTTATTTAGAGTTCAATGAAAGAATACATAACATTACTGGCAAGGCTGACTGTATAAGTAGGCCATAGTCTCACACTGTTGAGAGACAGAAGAATGTCTGCCCCGAGTCAGAGGAATAATTCATTGTAATATCAGAATCTGTTTTCAAGGTCTGGGAGCTAATGCCTGTCTGCTTCGACAGAGGTGTAATTTATACATTAAAGTGGACCTATCATGCTATATTTGAGTAATATATTGTAGGGCCATACCTATGTAAAACATGTCTGCGAATTTCTTTTTTCAAAATACCAAACAGATCATGCATTTTAGCCATGCCTCATTTTGCTCTATTTGCTCTTTTCCAGCCCTGTTTTTGCAAGGGCTGAATCTGTGAGAAGTCTTCTTCGCTGCTTTTGTGGCAGACTACAGCGCCACCTACAGGCCTGGCATATGTACTACAGCGTCTCCAGCGCTTTCGAACGGCAATGGCCATGGCTGTCCCCTCCTGATAGGTGGAGAGTTGCCCATATAAGCGGAGCTCCTCGTTCCTGACGTCAGAGCATTTTCAAATCTGTATCAGTTTGTATCAGATCCGTTGCAGCCCCGTTTTTAGAGATTTGGGTATGGAGGAAAAGAGAGAGGGTTGTGTTTTCTGACACTTGGTGAGTTCCCTGACACACCGGGGACACATATTCATGTGTAAAAGACGTACAAAAGTGCATTTTGCATGATAGGTCCACTTTAAGTTGTCTCATCAACTAGATTAGAGCTCAAAACAAATCTTTAAATGTTGACATTTGGAAAGTGTGTCAACTGTTTAAAAGCATAAACGGTAGAAAGGTAAAGTCATTGACAGATAGACTACCACCTTTATGGTAATTACCTACACGGCTCTGCATTAACATAAAGCTCCAATAGAAGCTTAACAGATGAAAAACCCTGCCTGATCATCTGTTAAATGTGTGACATTAATCTTGTATTAAATGATCAGTATAACCTCTTGCCACATAAACAATCTTGTTTGTGACAGCAAGCAGAGTACAAAGAGACTCAGAGGTTAAGGGTGTTACTCTGAAAACAATGAGACACCCATTTGATCAACAGATGCAACGCATTTAAGCTTGATGGTGCATAAGCCGTTTGCCAGATGGCTCAGCTGATTAGAGCATGTATCCTTACAATGATGCATGATGATGCTTTTTGAAAATAATGATCACCAGGTGCCGCTCCCTGAGCTCTGCAGAAGAAATAAAAGTTAAACAAAGAAAGGGAGAGAGGCAACAGGAATAGAAAGGCAGGGAGATAAAGAGGTGGAGAGAAAGGGAGGAATGGAGAGAGCGGATCCTGCCGGGTGTGGGAAGAACACGGCGTGTCAAGGACGCTTTGTTAGGATGAGAGTGTCATCTAAGTCACTCTAATGTTCTGTTGCATGGGATGCACAGCCACATATCACACACAATACACTGCAGAGGCTCCACAGACAGACTGGAGGTGCCACAACATCCCTGCTGGATTTGAGCATGGTTACACCGTTGATGCAAAACACTTCCATGCTGACGGAAAACATGAAACTAATGAGCTGACAAAGTGGTCTTTCGACTGTGTGCACCTGTCTTCAGAGACGCATCATACATATTCGACATACAGTTTATATTTCATAAGGTTAAAGTTAACCAACCACAATGTATGTATAAAGAAAATAAAGAAATCTTCATAATGGTTTCTTTAAGCTAATGAGAACGAATGAGACACACAGAGGTATCGCATCTTGGCTATTTGGAATAATAAGTTCAATTCCAGATGACCCCTGTGTCTTAATTGTGACCTTCAGCTTCCAGCTCCCTTTCATCTTTACTGCATTCACTGTATTAGCTCTTATGAATACTTTACTCTTTCCAAGAACACCTTTACAATCATTGCATCTGTAAGGGCAAAGATATCAACGTAGAGACGTCTACTTGCTCAAAGGGCCTTTGTCCCTCTAATCCAAATGTACCCTCTTTCAGTTTGAGTCAGGCCTATTGCATCAGAAATATAACACATCCCAGGAGCACAAGTGAACAGTTCTGTGAAAGCAAAATCCCTTCTCTCTATTTTTTAGAGAGCACTGCCACAGTTCTTGGCCAGACAAAATCAGATGTGTGTGTAAGGAACAATCGCCGAGCTTCACAAGCACTAGAGACGGCACTTGTGTGGGAATTTTATTTATTATATTGCCCTGGGGTAAATTTGATACTTAAAGGTGGGGTAGGTAATTCACTTCAGAAACACTTTTTGTTATATTCCATGGAATGCTCTTAACATCCCGATAGCAATGAATACATGAAATGCTTTGACAATAAATACATACAAAAATGTCATCTGTGGAAGCCGTAGTGCTGTAAAAAGCAGCCAAACATGTTAAGTTGCTAATCAGAGTGACGTCATGAGCATACAAGCACATTCTCACTAACACTCACAAGGTCATCAGTGGAGAAAGGAGATGTGAAACAGAAGGAAGATTGAATACATGAATAAAGGTACTAATCCTACTCTAGCCAAGCTGAAATCCTTTATATTAGGATCCTCAAACTCTAGAGTACAGATGGACTGCACTTTTGTTTAACATTGTTTAGTAAAAACGTAAAGTATGAAGCCTTAAACTAAATCTGTAATATCTCCACTACATCGCATAACGAAATAAGCTGACATCAAAGTAAAACATTAATCATTTGATCTGCGTCATCAGGACTGTGTGGGTGTGGGTGATTGACAGTTGCTTGGCAGCCCACCAACTGAATACAAATCTCTCACGGAAAATACCAACCAACCAAACAGAACATTTCATTTGTTTTACTCTTTGAGAAAATAGATTCAGGGCTTTAAGTGGAAAGACTCTTTACATTCTACAATCAGTTGAGGGTGACATTATAGGTTTCAATCTTTCATTATCTAACACAAAACACCAGGTACATTCACATCTTATTTGCTTCAGAAATATTCATTAGTAATATAAGGTATAGTATTCAAAGTCACATCGTTTTCTTGGTATACCAACTGAGATGCCTTTTTTCATATTCAGATATATTATTCAGACAGCAATTACTCTAAATGCATCACATTTTGAATCAGCTAGATGAAAGCATCTGTTTTGAATGCTTATTACTTGCTCCAGCAAAAGACAGTCCTTGTGCCTGTAATGACTGCACTCTCCAGTATGGCTATAGCATTGCTCGTTGATTTGAATGTATCATTTGCATAATAAATGCTTCTGTCGCATTTGAAGACTTCTCTCGTGAAGCAATCGTGGCAAGGAGCAAATCAACAGTTTTCCCCTCTCTATGAAGCAGCCTGCAAGAATATAAATGTAATTCTGCTTCCATAACATTTATATATTTGACATACATAGTGTTTTGCATTGCAGACCTCTTTCCTGCAGTAATAAGAGTGAAGAAGTGATAGTTAAGAGCTAGCTGTATAGAATATGTAATTCACGGTATGCCAGTGGGAAACAACATGTCATTATTATAGGCCAAAACACGCCGAACACACTGACATCCGCACTCTTGCGTGTGCATTGTAAACAGGCTATGAATACCATTTCCCACAATGCAAGAACTATGTGTCCACTGAGGTATAAAATGAAAATGTCTTGTTATTTTCTAGTTCAGGATAGAAGGAAATACTTCCCCATTTCAACTGAGGAGAACATCCTCGTGGTCGGCTCCTGTTAGATATTGGGTCGTTGTGACAGTGAGGATAAAGATGATGACTAGGCTACATAAATGGCTTTCTCCTGTAATCATTGTTTTATTGGCCGTGGTGTTGCTTATTGTCTTTTTCTTATACCACAAACCCATTTTGCGATCCAATACATGTATATCCCAGCCACTGTAGTATTTGTGACTATTCCGGTAGTTTTTGTGGATAAATGTTTTAGAGCTTTGCCTCTCTGCAATATCAATGTTGTTTTTATTGCAGTTGTGATTTTTATGCTTATTCCCTGCTGTGACATTTCCAGCCTGATAACCTGTCTGGACTCGGTGGCCTCAATTTGTTACTTTTATCATGTGGCCTACTTTACCGCAGATGTCATGTCCAACTGCTGACCCTTAGAACTTATGTAATTGCGTGGAAGGGATCCACTCTACCACCCACTACTACCACTGCTACTGCGTATATCCCTACAACTGCTACACATACATAGAAGCGCGCTCCCACAACACCGCTAAGCCTTGGAAAATGAATTTGCCTGATGATGGAGAGGGTGCATTATCTGGCGGTACAGTAGAGTGCGTGTGGCCCGAGCAGACTAGCTGTCTCTCGCCCTCAGAATAGGAGCAACAGTCTCCTGGGCCCCGGTAGGAGAATGGGCTGAAGCTGCAGTCTAATTCATCACAGCTCCGCAGGAAACAAGCAATCGTGTGGAGGCTTAAATTTAAAAAAAAGGAAAACCAGTGCCAAAGATACAACAGCTCTCACTGGACCCGGGCAATTCCCCCGGTCACTGCAGTTGCCTGCCTGACTGTCAGACTCTTCATGACGTAAATGCTGAGGCAAGGAGAGGAGGGGGAGAAGGAGAGGAAGATAGTAGGTAGAGAAGAAGAAAAGCAATTCCGTATGGATATGTAGATTATATTACTGAGTGGTGGGACGTTACAGCGTGTGATGTACAGCATATTTACCGTAGCATTAGCATAAATCACTACGTATGTGTATACGGGATGTGATTGTTTACCCTATGTGGACCACCTCTCAAAGGGGGTTCTTCACTCTGGCTCCAGATTGAGGTGATATGGCCTGCTGGAGGGTTTCCGTGACAACCTGGGCTTTCTGTCCAATCAGGACTAGGGTTTCCAGATTGAGAGGTGGTCCTCAGGGGAGCTGTACTTCAACGAGCTTGGATGCTTTGCCACGGAGCAGCCCTTTTAGAGAGACCATCACACAGTGAGATTCTGCTCAAAATGGGTACTTTGATGTTCCTGGCATAATTAGAAACACTTTCCAAAGGAGGGTCCTTTTTAAAATTCATTGAAAGCGAGAGGACAGGGAGCATCCAATTTCAATTCCACTCATGAACCATCCTGCAGCTGCCTTTCAGGCGTGTACCATATATGTTATGACCCGCCCATTTGTCAAACTGCCAACTGTTGTTATTTTGTCTTGTTTTATGATGAGCAAAAGTAGGAGACATCTTTGTGTTTTTCCACCTGCTCATTCAAGCAAATCATCTCCCCCTGTAATCTCCTTCTAGTCAGTCCAGATCCCTTTTCCTTTTTTTTACTCCAGAAGTTGCATCGTGGTTTCATCATCCTGAGCATAGGAGCCAGCAGGGTATCGTACAAACACTTCGGGCAGGCTCATTTTTCACAGGTTGACTTCCCAGCTCTCCTGCAAGATGTGTCACGACAAATGGCTGATATGTGTCACACTTGCGACAGATCCGTGTCCTTGCATTAGAGAGGAGATGTAGTGCTTTGTGTGTTTTTGTGAGTGTGAGTGTGAGTGTGTGTGTGTGTGTGTGTGTGTGTGTGTGTGTGTGTGTGTGTGTGTGTGTGTGTGGTGTGGTGGTGGTGTGGTGCGTGCGTGCGGGCGTGCGTGCGTGCGTGCGTGCGTGCGTGCGTGCGTGCGTGCGTGCGTGCGTGCGTGCGTGCGTGCGTGCGTCCGTGCGTGCGTGCGTGCGTGCGTGCGTGCGTGCGTGCGTGCGTGCGTGCGTGCGTGCGTGCGTGCGTGCGTGCGTGCGTGCGTGCGTGCGTGCGTGCGTGCGTGCGTGCGTGTGAATATATATATATATATATATCTGCTCGTCCTGGCGTGTGTTTACTATCTCTATGCAATAGGAAAGCATGTCTATGTGTAGACTTACACTGAAAAAACTGAAATGTTGACTTAAATTAAATGTATTGTGTAAGCAGATGTCACATAACTTATGTGACATCTGTTGACATAATACATGTATTTAAAGGCAATATTTGTTTTACTGTAACTACGTCTTAAAGGTCACCTATTGTGCAAAATCCACTTTTCCATGTCTTTTATACATCACCATGTGTCCCCTCTGTGTAAAGAGATTCTGAAAGTTTCAGGAAAAAAGATTCGCTCACTTTTTTGTCCATTTCTATAAAAACCTGTCTGAAAATGAGCTGATCAGATTTTGGCCACTTTATGATGTCATAACGATTTGTTGGCTTGTGTAACCATTAGCCAATCACCAACCAAGGTAACCCCCCCCCCCCCCCTTATCACCTGAATCTCCTCCTCGAGCACCATTGTGTTCTTTGTAACCAAATATCTCTCAGAGGGGCGTGGGGAGGGGCTCCTTATTTTCATCTAAAGTAACAGACAGAATCAGCACTTTTGAAACAGGGCTGAAACAGAGGGGATTATGGGATGCTGCAATGATCTGTTTAGTGTTTGGAGCCTAATACAGTTATGTGACATCTGTTGACATAATACATTTATTTAAAGTTAATGTTTTGTTTACTGTACCTACGTCTTAATACCTTATAACTGTTCTGTAGTATCATTGTAGAGCTATATAAACAGAGCCTCTAACTGTAAACCTTTCCCCCCGCAGGCCTCAGCTCTCCACCAGCCAACATCACCACCTCCGTGCCCAGCCTTGTCTCGCCCCTCGTCAACGGGTTCACCGGGATCCCCCATCAGCCCAACGGACACCCCGCTGTGGAGGCTATGTACACCAACGGCCTGCCGCCATACTCCACCCAGAGCCCCACCGCTGCTGACACCCTCCAGCAAGCATTCACTGGAGTACAGCAATACACAGGTGTGAGACAGCTCTGTGCTGTTTTTCTGTCATAAATGCTAAATGTGTAGCAACTACGGGACGATTACTGCAGGCTAAGTACTGTATGAATAAGGCTATATGTATTCTCACAGTGTAGGACAGCGACATCACAGAGCCTTTGATTACACATGTTATGCTTGTGTGATCGACCTTAAGCATCCTTGACATCGTTCTCTGTGGGATCCCTGGTTTTACACCTTTCTCTCTTTCTTTTGTACTCTTTCCTCTCCCTCCTCTCTCTCTGCAGCAATCTACCCCACCACCACGCTGACTCCCATTGGCCAGACACTGCCCCATCAAGCCCAGGTCATCCAGCAGCAGCAGCAGAGAGAAGGTGAGGGTGAGAGAACATTATTATTTTTTTTACACTTCACACATCTCATCCCGTGTAATAGACATATAAAGAAGATGAGAATGAGAAACCAATATTACTTTAGAATTGTACACACCTCATTCAGTGTAACGGAGCGTCCACACAGCAGCGTGCGTTGACGCTTGGAGGTGGGCGTATCTGAAGCTTGGGGATTTTTTGCGAGCAACACGACCAACAACCAATCACATGAATCTCCCGCCCCCCGACATACAAAGCAATAGCAATGTTAAAACGAAGTAAACTGGATATAAAATCCCCAAACAGGCGAAAACCTACCAGTTTCACCCACTGTCTCTGCCTCCTCCCTCCATGCCTCGCTCCTCCGGTTTGTATCCCGGTAGATGAACAGAGACTGATCATACAGCACCGGGTGATTCACTACCGCTACAATGAATTTTCCCTCAATTTTTTTGAATATGAGGAAATGACCTGCGTAGTCTCTCCCAGCATACACGCGGTTTGATTGGCTAGCGATTGTACTGGCAGATTTGAATAAACGGGATTTCATTGGCTGACGCCTCCGTCGAGGCGTCAAAAGTTGAACATTGCTCAACTTTTGACGCCAGCTACGCCAGCAACGCTCCACGTCGCTTCCCAAAATGCAGTTCGGCTAAAAGTGACGTCACCCCATTCAAAGTGAATGGGCAGAAGCGTTGGAAGCTTCAACGCACGCCGCTGTGTGGACGGGCCGTAACACACATATAAAGACTGTGAGGGGGAGAGAAGAATATGACTTTAACACTGATCACCTCATTCTTTTTAATGGGTTGATATAGTTGGACAGCTGAGAGAACAGTGGAAGTGATTGCAGTTCATATCAAATACATGTAAAAACGATGAGATTACAGAACAAAGTTAATCTCACTATAATGTGCAATATGTCTTAAAATAGGTTACATATGATCGACTTAGGCTCACGCTTCTTTTATAAGTAATAATTCAAGCTTATATGATCAAATCTGTAAGATGGAAAAATGTAATTAATGTAGATTTGCTTGAAGATAAAGGAACTCGCCACACAATGTGACTGTTTCCACTCACTCCTACTGCAGGTCTTCACAATAATAATGTATTCATGTTGCATTGATGTTGTGTAATCTGCATTGAATTAGTAATAGTTATTTTAGTATTTAATATGTCTATGTGTTTTCAAAATTTGAAATAAATGTGTCAGACAGAAGGTGCAAAAGTATGATTGAAACCCTCTGTTTAACACATTATTTACATGATCATTTACTTTAAAAAAAATATTTGTACTGCTTTGATTGATCAGATTGTATTTCTTTGGCGGCACATTTATCACATTGCAGTTGTTGCCAGTGGAAAAATGTAATTTGTTATCTTGATTTAGTCCTATTTATATTTAATCAGAAAAGTTTGTGAAATAGAAATGTTAAATAAATTCCCATCCATTCAGTATCAGCAAATCAATGCAAAGAAAAATCTAATTATTTGTATGTGTTTAGGAACAGCTATGTTTTATCGCAGATAATGTCACAGACGTCGTGACAATCTATTTCCACTTATCTTAATTTAGTCGACACGAGAGACAGCATAGATCAAAAAGACAAATTCACAGCAGTCTCTCTCTGTTCCTCACCCATTAACTCTCTCTCTCTCTCCTCTCTCTCTGTCTCTCTCTCTCTCTCTCTCTCTCTCTCTCTCTCTCTCTCTCTCTCTCTCTCTCTCTCTCTCTCTCTCTCTCTCTCTCTCTCTGTGCTCAGGTCCGGAGGGCTGCAACCTGTTCATCTACCACCTGCCACAGGAGTTTGGAGACAATGAACTCATGCAGATGTTTATGCCTTTCGGCTCCGTCATCTCCTCCAAGGTCTTCATGGACCGGGCCACCAACCAGAGCAAGTGCTTCGGTGAGTTTCTCCATGCCCCTCACACACTGATATCAAGTGGGTAAGAATCATGGACTTTAGCTCTTTCTGCACACTTTGACAGACTTTTCCTTCGATATGATATGATAATATGGGGTTGTAGGTATTAAGCACTGACATAAACATGCAATAATGGCCTCTCCTAAAGAAGTAGAGAGCAATACAGGAGGGAATAACCGAGCCACATATTTGCATAAATACACTCGAGGGAAATGTTTAATGGATGTTTTCAGGAGTTGGACACAGAAATAAGCTCTTGTGCAAAACCAAATGTATTTTTGCAGTCTGACATTTTATATATTATTTTCAAATTATTCAGATGTTTTTAGGTGAAGTTATGTTTTTTTATTCACAGGGAGTTTTTATTTTTGTACTGCGCCCCAAACCATTTTTTAAACAAATATTTGTTTCGATGCTTGACTCTGATGATGTTTGACAGCCCTCAGACAGAGAGGAGTGAAGGATCTTACCACTGCCTGCCTGCCTGCCTGACTGACCTGAATTTGCATCTTGATGACTGTTGTGTTTTGGCATCAGTGCTGCAGAAAATGTGCTGAATACATTGTAGCCAAACTAGCCATGATGCAGTCGATCAGAGCCCATGTCCTTGTTTCTGTTGGCAGCTGTGTGACCTGAAAACCTTGAGGTGCTGTATCAGCATCCACATCACCGTTCTGTAACCCCAATATCTGTCAATACCCTCACCGCTGAGGCTGATTCACACACCTCCACGCCTCCCGTCCCATTTAGCCCTGTCAGCCAACACACTCCAACAAGCCCCAGGGCTTATAACAACTTTGAGGAGACAGGCGGGCATGGTGGGGGGGGGAGTGAGGAAGGCAAAGGACGATTATGGATCAGCATTTGTTTTCACTTCAGGGAACAGCAGAACCCTGGGCAAAATTGATCGGCAGTCCCGTCTCCCTGGGGGGACTTAATAACATATAAATTCATGAAAGAGGAGCTATTTGCAGTATTGACTTATACACTATGCATTTACAACATAATGTTAGGCCTGGAGAAACAGGGAGCACACTGGTGTAATTAATCTAGGGAGGAGAAAAAGGGGATAAACGTAGATTGATGGGGTGCAAAAGACAAGGAAACACAGAGTAAGAGAGAAAGCACACTTGTAATGTGTGACAGGACTGAGCGGAGGGCTTAGAGCTCTAAGCCTGCATCTCCTCTCCATCTCATCTCTGCTCCCGGCCCGTATGTGTTAACCTGACGGTGGGTTGGGGCGCTCACATCCTTCCCCTGCCTCTATACTTTCTTCAGACTTGCGTTCAGCTCAGCCTTCGCCCTAATGGGCCGGCCCAGAGCCAGACAGACACGCTCCCAGGTGGCTGTGGACGTGGATAGGCTCCTGCTGCTTTTCACGGGTCATCGGCTGCTCCTAATGACACCACACACACAGGGGAGCGCATCAAGCATAGACACACTCCACTGCCGTTTCTGGTCACTGAGTCCTCAAGGCTTTATTTTTACACAGGATGAAAACAGGATGTTCAGCGTAGGTTTGAGGGGGGGTGTGTCTTGGGGGAAATGCAGACTTGACTCCCCATGATGAACTATGTTTGCTCTTGTACTGTTCCAAATACTCTGCCCAGGGACCTGTGCTCATTCATTTATGTACTTTGGAATTTCTGGGATATCAGAAAAATATGTTGAAAAGTATTTTAAGTAAAAAAAGATGGTATGTATAGAGTACGACTTAATGTGACCTCAATCTATTTTGTATTGCTCCTTCTCTAGATGAAGATATAGGTTGAGGCGGATAAGTGGACGCTGTTTGTTGTGAATGGGGGGAAAAGGAACAATTATTAAATATGCTTGTAAATATTTCCAAATAAAAACTGTTAAGAAAAAATATATATTTATGGACAACCTCATCATGATACTGTTAGTATATTTAGATTTGGATCTGGAGTCCCGGAGATTATTTTCTATATTTTAGAGTTGTGCAACATAAGCAGCTGGTTAGACTCACTTTCTAAGGCACTAGTTTTTACTGTGGACATATTCAACTCTGAGAAATAAAATGGAATTCCAAATCCATCTTCAGTTGGGAAGAACGTATTAACACACTGTCACAAGCACTGAGCATTTGCTAAGCAGCCTAAACATGCGCACTGCCTCAACTACGCCCTCTAGACTCCTTCAGGAGGCAGTCAGCCATGATGATCAACAGAGAAATGTGTTTCTCCCTTTTTCAAGTTTCTCTTCCTGTCAGTAGATGTTTCTGCTATAGATATGATCCCTGAATATTGATTTACATTCTAAAATAGCCTGTTTAGGCACTGATCATTATCCTAATTCTCAACAGGGCTAATTAACTTGTTCTTTCTCACAGGTTTCGTGAGCTTCGACAACCCTGCTAGTGCACAGGCAGCTATCCAAGCCATGAACGGCTTTCAGATCGGGATGAAGAGGTTGAAAGTCCAGCTAAAGAGACCGAAGGATGCCAGCCGCCCTTACTGACAAAGCCTACCTTCAGTATTCATTGCAGCAGCACAGGTGAGCCAGCAAAGTGTCAGAGCCCTGTCACCGGTTCAAGATTTAGATCCTCAACATGGTGTCTCTTAAAGCTGAAGATGTGACTCTGCTTGAGTGGAAGTGGCAGTCCTCGCTGCTCCTTAAGACAGCCTGAATGTTAAGATCTTGCTGTTTTCTTAAACTTTACGACATAAGTATTGAATGAACTTTGTGTTCAGTAAATCTTCATTTCTAAATGTTTCTAGAATTTGAGTATCTACAGAGTTGATTTGATATGCCTCACAGCAGTCGTATTAATTATAGGAAAATCTGTCATCGTCATGATTGACAAAGATTGATTGGTGTGCCAGTGCGGGTTAGCTCTCTCCAGACCATTTCACTGATTTAATAGAGTCATTTTGAACTCTCCAAAGTTTAAAGAAATACATTTTTTTTTGTAATGACAGCTTAATGAGCAGTGAGATCTGAAATTGCCTTCTTTCTTCTTTTTCTATTCTCCAGGTTTTAGAGGACACGTGAAGATATCTCGGAGGAGTTACACTTTTTTTTCTTTGAGCGCAAAATATGTTTTTAAAAAATCAACACATAAGGAATTTTTGAAGACATATCAGCATTTACTTATGAAGCTATAGGTTACGGCAGAAAAGAAGAAGATGCAAGAGAAGAGGAGACGCTTCACCGGGGGACTTAACAGTAACAGATGGCACAGTGCAAGAAAGACCAGAAGAAAAAAAAAAACTGAAAAAAGATGTGATGAGACTGAACAACAGAACTTTTTCTTGTTGAGACTTGAATTGTTAATTAAGCAACAAACTAACAACAAAAAAGCAGCAACAACAAATAGATTTCTATATACATATTATATACACATATATATAAGGAAAGAGGCGCTTGTGGCTTTTACTGTACTGGACAAATGAGGGTTAAAACTTGAAGATCAAGAAAAACAGTGGAAAAAAAGAAGCTATTCCAATCGTCCACTGACAGACTTTCTTTCTCTTTCCCTCTTTCTCTTATTCTCTCACCGTCTCTCAGCAAGGCAGAACGATGACTCTTGGAGGTCACTGAGGTTTCCATTAGCAACAGTAGAACTGCAAATCTTTCACCCCTAAGGGACCAAAGGACCAAACATTTGTATTGTTCTGAACAGTAATATATAGTATTAAAGATACTACGAACTACTACTAATAATATTACAAGTTAAACTTAAGAAGAAATACTAGCTTCAGGTTAAAAAAAAAAAAGAGGAAATGGGTTTTGTTTTATTTGCCTCTTACATTTATAGCTACTGGGTTTAAGGAATATTAAAACAAAACAGAAAAAAAATGTATAAAGCTATACTATTTTAGGGGGGTAGACTATGTGGGTTAGACATTGTTGCGGGCATGTTCAGATACGTTGTTTTGCCACCCATTGTTTCATCTACATCACAGCATTTCATCTCGGAGGTGTGATCTGTCGGTGTTATTGTGTCAGGAGAAGAAGTGCCAAAAGTGACACAATAACAGCCTCTTAAAGCCAACCTTACCATCCACAGTGTAGTCAGCCGTGTATCGCTGTCTTCTGCTCTTGTCAGCGTGTTGCAATTCCATAATTGACGCAAAAGTACTTCCATGTGATCATTAAGGCCTTGATATTACCGATAATCTGACCATAAAGCACTGTGGTGAGAGTGCCATCCGGTCGAGCTGGATACGCAGCACGGCAAAGCATCTGTAACCGCTTCATGAAATATACAAATGAGCTTGACAGCAGTTGTAAAAAATGCCATGGTCGAGTCACAGTGGTCCCTGCCGGGTCGTGCCCCGTCCCGCTGCCAACCCCTCCAGCTGCTCTCAGCAGGCGGGAGCAGCCCCCCCCCACCTCTCTCCTCACCTCCAAGTGCTTAATAGGGACCATCAGTTCACGGGGGCCGAGAGCTAACCCACAGCATAATTAGGATAATGATAATATTGATCAGATGGGGAGCAGCACTGCGGGGCAAGAGATGCTCCATCAATCACGCATTGGCATTTTGAATGAATTGACTGAATGACAGAGTCCATTTTTCTCTCTGTACTTGGATGGGAGCCCTGTCCTTCTCTAACTACTATCCACAGTCTCAGAGGGGACCTCAAACCTGACAGAGGCAGCATGTCCTGTGGGACACCTCCAAGGCACTTAAATCTGAGAGATTATTGCTCATAGATATAACATTTGAGATGATTTGATGGCTGCGAAAGGATCTGTATATAAGTGTTTAGACTAAATTGTACGAGTTCTTCAGTGAAGAGCAGCTGTATTTCTTTTTTTTTTCCAAAGGGTATAATAGCACAGTAAGAGCTTGTACACGTTGAGGAACAGCCTGGCATTACCAGCCTTAGGAGGTCAAATTAAGAGCAAAATGATCCATCAATTAGACAGCAGCAGGCCTGTAAGTGTAGCTGCTACAGCTGCTGCTGCTTCGACAAGACAACAGCTTACCATTAGCAGCGGTCACAAATGGCTCCTATACAGTGTGGTCACGACACATCACGCCATACCCGATAAGATTAATTAACTAAACTATCATCGTCTGTGGAGAGCGCCACATACAGTACATCCGAGATGAAATCTTTGTCCATGAGTTATTTGCTTTTACTCACCATTATCCATTTCACTCTCATATTTCTTCAACTAACATCCACTCAGTTGTCTTTTCATTTGAAAGTATTTCCAACATGCCATTCATTGAGTCAGTTTGCACTGAAGCAGCTCGCCCCTGAGGACTCTGAGACCTCAGCGCTATGATTATTTCTCTAAACTTTAGACACATCAGTGCTTCGAATCACAATGCTGTCTCTACGGCCGCATCCACATACGCAGAGTCTTCAGAAAACATGACTGCTATGCCTCCATAGTCTGAAACCACAAAAGTCATCAGCAGAATGGCTCCCCAGGTCCTGGTGACTGCATTTTTTAATTCTATTTATTTGTTTGGTTACCGGTTCACAGGATCAGTATTATTAGAAAGGGGTTTCATTTTCAGGAGGCTGTTAACAAATGTTACTACCCTTCTCCACTGCATATTGTTCTCTTGCAGGCAATACTTAGATGCTGTAAAAAAGAAAGCCTTTAAAAATGCCTTTTCTCATCATGAATTGCCAAATTATGCAAGCATATCCACTGCATCAGACTTTAAACGTGTGCCAGATTCCTTGAAAATGTTCTTAGGAATTTGTTCATTTTCAGGAAATATTCATTAAACAAGTATTTGGTTATGTGATATAGCATAAACTTGTGGGATAAAGGTTCTTGCAGGCTGTAATGATATATAATAGAGTTTCCTAGTGAAAAGGTTAGATTTCATATATATTTGCCAGAAGACAGCTTTTCCCCCTGGTGAGTTACTGTTAGTTTCCTCTCTCCTGTCAGGCCCAGCAGCTTTAGGATCTGTGATATATGCCCTCCTTTCCCCGGGCCATGCAGGGCCTTATAAACCCACTCAAAAATCTTTTCTTATGGGATTTCTACTAGAGAGTTTTTTAAATTATTAAAATCAAATTAAATGTGGCCTTCACAACAGCTTGGGTAATGCAAATTAAAGATGCCAGCTGTGGCTGAAATGTAATGAGTTGAAAATATGTTGAGTTAATTTCATCCTGCCAAGAGAAAGAATGAAATTTGATCGAACGAAATTAAAACACTGAAGGTTTGTGGATATCGAGCATAAGCCTAATTATACTGTACATATCCAGTATTCAGAAAAGGGAAACAAAATGAAATGGAAAACAACAAAAAACCAAGAAATTAATTAATTGAGGTTTTTAATTGAAAGCAGAACTGACAAAGAAATCCAGTCATTATGTGAGGAAATAGCAGTACTTATTTTAATCTTTATATACTTCAGTTGCATGTGGTCAATCTAAAGTTTGTTTTCTACATTTCCTTCACTCTAGCATCCATACATTTTTTTTATATGTGTCATCCTACAATGCCCTTGCAATCTCTGAGCATGCTCAATGGGGGCTGGGGGGGGGGGGTGGTTAAAGATTACGGTACTACTAGTATTAACAATATGATTCTTTGCCTATGGTTTGAATGCTAAGGATAGTAGCTTATTATAAATATGAAATCTGTATATTATGGAAAATCAGCACAGGACCTTTCTTTAGATACATATTGATTAGGGTTTGAAATGGGGGAGGGGTTCTAGGGAGGGGGCGGGTCGCTTTATAAAGATATTAACTTTCTGGTTTCTCAGCACAAAGCATACAAAAACATATAAACAGCAGTATGGAGTCTGTGAAGAACACTTAACTGACATACAGGGCGCAAAAAGAGGATCTCAGAACTATTGTTTAACCTGGAGGAGAACATGTGGTTCACAGGTTGTATTGATTTTCTTTGTTTCTTTTTTAAAGGAAAGCGCCACCTGTTGTTGTGGCAGCGTCAGTACAGCATGGATTAACTGACAGGGAAAGCAGTATCTTTTTATAAAAAAAAACATGTAAAAAAAACGATGTGTTCTGTATTAGCCTGAGAAACCAAACATTTTCCCCTGTTGACATTTCTTAATACTTGCTGCTTAGATTACTTCATATTAATGATTGATGATTAAATAATTTTATAATTATCAGGTCAAGTATGTAACTTGATGTTTATTTATCTATTTATTTTATTTATTTATTATTTATTCAGCCACTTTTCTTTTATGGTTATGGTAAGATAAAGATATGTATCAAAAAAGAAATGCTTATTGGGGCTTTTCTCTCTTTCTCTCCTTTTTTTCCAATTTTACAATAAAAATTCAAACAGGATGTTTTGTTTCTCAGTTATATCGTGTCGGATGGAGTGTTTAACCGCTGTGCAAAGAGAGGGGGAGTAGTTGCACAAGGATTTGCTCTCAAGGACTTTCAGAGTCTGCAGATGTTGCAACCTCTTGCAGCTCGCCACCCCAGAGTGTGTTACTGCCTCCTCTCTGCTGAGTGATGAAACTGTGATGATAGGGTCATTGCCCTTTAAAGGGTAACCGGGTTATTACTGCACACACACACACACACACACAGCTTGAAGTTGTGTAAACATTTTTATTTTAACACGAGCCAATTTCTGCTACTCAACGGGAAGGAGACTAAGTTGGTATTCATCATGAAAAAGCTGGAAGGAAATTAAGGAAATGCATACTCATATGGAAACCCAGTTTCACAGCATGTATGATTTGGATCATCTGTTATTTTTGGAAACTGAATCCTCTACCAGTTAGAAAGGTCACCTGATGCTGTTCCACTGCAGAGAGACACTGGAGCAGTTGTTTTTTCACAAACAAAAACTATAAGCATCAGACATTTGTGAAGATAGATTATGCAGGGGAACACATAACATTATCATTTTGACAAGCAGGAGGCAGTAAATATAAAATAAGGAAGGCATCGTATATCAGTCAAGTTTACATCACGAGCTAAAGAATTGCTTTGGGGCCCAGAAGAAAAAATCTGATACATCTGTTGACATTGACTTGCTTCGGCACATGTACTTTGTAATCATCATCTTCTTACACTAGAAGTCACTAGCATCAGAAGCCGAACAGCCGAGACATTCACATTTTGAGGAGCAGCGGCAGATATGAAAAAGAGAGGGAGGGACAAAAAGTAGAACCACTGGCTCATGAAATAAATTGTCCCAATTACAATAAAGTGTGGCTCTTGGTCAGTGTGCACGGCAGGCAGTTCATCTTTATTACAATCAGTTAATGAAAATCAATCCCCCTCCTGATAAACTCTTATCTCCACGGCCTTTGCGCGCCCCTCGTGCGGGGAGATAATAAATTAGGGTAATATTGCCTTTGATGAGGGAGTGAATTGCAAATGATTGTGACTTTCCAAGATTTATGAAGCAGATGCTTAATTTCCGAGCTGGGTTTTTCAGGGTGCCAGGGGGCCATTTGTTAAAAGTTTGGTGACACAGGCTCGTTAATAAAAATACACATTCAGACAACCAGGTGTTCTCTACTGTTACAGTAGCAGAGAAAGCAGGAAGTCCTAGCTCGCAGCATTTGAAGGCAGTTGGTATTTTACCTATTACGGCATATGAAGAGGCAGGAACCCTGGGGATGCAACGTGTTTACTTAGACTGCCAATCATAGAGTGTTATTTCCCCCACCCCAATCTCTATCACACAACACAAGCCAGGAGCGTATGATTTGATATGTAGGTCAATACCATTCTGGAGTGAGCCAGTGTGTGAGATATGTCTCGTTTCTTGCTGTCACTCTGATTATTGAGGAGACACAGAAAGATTGAGTTGGTCAGGTATGAGAGCCTGCGGTATGAGACAGCTGTATAACCGCTGCCACTAGAGCAGTTTGAAAAACACACACACACACATATTCACTGAGAAATGAGCAACTTCTCACTCTTTGTGCTTCAGCAGTGACCCATGTAACAGGGTGCAATATATGTGTATCTTGAATGTCTCCTACTTGGTGCAACAATCTGACTGAGTGCATCATTAAGCAAAAACGCTTCAGTGAAAGGAGGTTAGGGGGTCTTACCAGTCAGCAGGAGCTGCAGAAATGATGCAAGGTGATCATCTAAGGAGCCACACATATCAAACACAATCTCACAAGAGCAGCTGAATGAGTTCACAGGTTGGGCTGGCCAACATCACATGTGTCGTTTAGCATCAATAAATCAAGTCTAAACTTGAAAATATATCATGTGCAACTTGCGTAAGGTGTTTCCACTCATGCTACAATCACTATTCATCCCCTACACAATGTGACATTATTATTAACCCTATTTATCTGAGGCCTCTCTAGGTGGAGGAATGGCACCTTATATATCAATATCAAAGTAATTTGAATACCTATAATTCTCCAAACACTTGATCATCTCTTGATACAAATGTCTCCTCATCAAGGCCACCTCATTTAAGTCTAAGGAACATTTTAAATTAAGACAGCCATCAATCTATCTATTATCAATCAAGGGAAGGACTCACACACCACTATCTATTTATCTTGCCAAGTGCTCTATTAATATCAAATTAATTTCCCCATTGAGAGTATCAATCACTTTTCTCAACTCATTAGCTCGGTAATTGTCCTTGTTTACAGGGGAAAGTCAAGACAGGATGACTGAAAGAGGCTGGACGAGCAATCTATGCAGGCTTGAGCAGCCTCCTGCAAACCTGTGCAACATCCTCCATGCTGCTAGAGAATATTTTACATATTCTACATTTGCACTTTCAAAAAGGGAGTTTCAAACATCAAGCTCCACTCAAATAAATTAGCTTTTATGTTTAGAAGTTCACCTTTTTTGAACAGACTGAGAGGGCGCTCTCTCATGGGGATGTTATGTAATACTGCTGCTGGCTGGCAGTGCTGTCAGATGGCTGCATCTCTACAGATGACATCAATAAGGGGCTTTAAGCTTCTTCCTTTTTTTTCAATTATACAGGAGAAGGTAAGACACACCGCTTATAGGCTACATACTGTCAGCTCAGTTAAGAGCCATTGTCATGTATTTAAATAAAATATATTAAGGTGAGGTGTTAATGAAGTATTCAAAGCACTTACCTAAAGCTACATTATGGGACTATTTCACTTAAGGTGCTGTTGATAACATTTAGCAACAAGATGACACCTGCACCTCCCCCTATCATTGGTTCATTTCCAAACCCAGTTGGGTGCCAGTTTGATCAACAAGCTGCATATTTCACAAACAATCAGCGTATATTCACTGTTGGCTTACTAGCAAACCATAGCTGTAGCTTACCAGTCAAGAAGAAAAGTGGCTGCTTCAGCAATCAAAAAACTGTCAGCTGAACCTAATGAGTAAAAGCACAACCCATTATGTTCCCCTCGGTCTTGCTCCTCCTTTCATCACTGAGCACTTGGATTTGGTACCGGCGTGAAGTTGAAGCCTATCATCAAAATAAACAATTGTTCCCAGTTTTTTTCACACTAACTGGAAACTACTTACTATCTACTTTATTGCATAGTCAAATAGATAACACACGATATCAATGTTGTAATACCATTGGCTAACGACTCAGGCGATTTCTTACACAATGGTAAAGAGGTAAAATATACAATGTTAATGTCTGACCCAATGACATGTTTTAAGTTATCATTCAACATCATAGTATTTTTTTATTTTTATAAATGAAACTATAATTCTGCAACTTTCTTAAAGGTCCCATGTCATGCTTTTCCGGTTATTACCCGTCCCCTTGTGTGTTATGAAGGTTTTTATGCATGTAAACGGTCTGCAGAGTCAAAAACCCTCAAAGTACACCCTGTAGCGAGTAAAACTCTAACACAGTCTATGCTGCCCCAAAACGCCTCGTTGGAGATTTCGCATTTTCCATTGTTTACTTCCTGGGTACTCTGACGTGGGGATACCCAGAGGCCACACCCTCTGCCAGCCTTTCACGAAACAAAGCTTCCCAAACCTTTCAGCGATTCATGCCGGATATGTACAGCGTAGGGCACTGACGAACGATGCTGTTTCTACTTTGTTTGGACCAGCGGGAGATTCGGGTACACAACCTGTAAGTATTCATTGTTGTTTGTGTATTTATGATGTTTAAAACAAACAAGGTATATCTACCACGACTGTTTAAATGGGTAAACGTTTTTCGGGCTACTACGTTGGGATCGCGGAGAAATGCTCTCCGCAGACCCATGCTCACAGCGTTATAAACCTTTTTCTTACTCAATATCAAGCCACACTTATTGTTTTTACTTCGGCTGTGAGTGTTTGTGTGTGCTCAGGATGAGTTTCGCTTGTTATCGCTGTATCACCGACACGGAAGCCTGTCCACTCCTCGCAACAGCTCACAGCTGCGAGCAGCAACGAGCCTCTCAATGTCCCGACCAATCAGAGCACACTGGGCTCACAGGGAGGGGGGGGGGGGAGCTCCAACAAGCCGTTTAGGAGAGAGAGTGAATACCGGTGAATACCAAGCGGCAAACTCTGGGGAACAGCCGGGAATACGGAAGTGCCACACACTGCAGTTCATACATGGGCCGCTAGGGACTGGCTGCAGAAAGGAGTAATTTCCATAGACCCCCATGTTAAAATGCCCAACTTTACAGTAGAAAAAAACATGATTCTACCCATGGATGCAATAAATATTATTATCGATATAGACTCACAGATTCATAATCATGAAGGTGGAATCTAACTATATCATATAGTTAGATTCCACCTTCATGATTATGAATCTGTGAGTGAATTGTTTTCTAACACAACCCTTTTATTTATATTAGGTCTTAACGTTTTTGCATAAATTAGGGCGTGGTCACTTTGATGGACATGCCTCACAGTCACTGTCAGCTAACAGCAACTTGTCCACTCTGCTAGGCTACAACCATAGAGGCTACAACGTTAGTTAGTCATAGTACTGTACTTGACCCTTTAGCTTTAGCCGTGTTCGTGGTGATTGTGCCTTTTAGGGAATATTGTTACAAATACCAGACAATTAAAATGTCGTGCTGTGCGCTTGAATGTACTAACAGAACTTCCAAGAAGTCTAAAATGATAATATTATACATGTTAACCCCGTTCGCAGGTGTTTGTGTGCTTGGTAGCTTAGCTTGTTACTTATTAGCCAGCTAAGGACGTAACCCTTTATGCATACATATACATTTTAGTTTATGATTCAGCCTTGGGTAAGACTTTTATAGTCTATGGCTATGACGCCCATAATGCTAAACGGGAACAAATGTTAATAGAGGACCCAATTATCCCAGTGGTGGCCACCGGAGCTAACGGAGCCGCAGGGGGCTAGGCAGCAGGTCCCGCCTCTTTGCCCTTATTTGGAGCAGGCGGGATTAGACTTTGACATCACAGTCGAGCCGTTAGTGGCCGACTCCGCCTACTAAGGGCTTCACGGCAACTCTGCAGAATTATATGGGTGACGTCACGGACACTACGTCCATTTATATATACAGTCTATGGTGAATAGCAGAGGTGGGACCAAGTCATTGTTTTGCAAGTCCGAGTCAAGTCTCAAGTCTTTGCGCTCAAGTCCGAGTCAAGTCTCAAGTCATTGTTTTGCAAGTCCAAGTCAAGTCTCAAGTCAGGATGGGCAAGTTCAAGTCAAGTCAAGTCCTAAACTTTGACAAAACGAGTCATAAACAAGTCATTATGTGTTTTTCACCAAATGTAATGACATCGATCAACAGAATAATACTTAATAATCAAATTGCTCTTTATTAGTCACATTAATAATTTAATAATCCATTTTCTCTCTGCTGGTAAAGTAACGTGTGTTTTTCTAATTTAAGAGGGAACAATAAGGTAAGGCTACCGTGACGGTTTGATTCAGAAGGAGTTTAATGTATAAGATCCCTGATGTTGAGGTAACCAGAATGTTTATTTCCACTGTGTACAACATGTTATAAGGGACCCACAATCTAACTTTATGCAAGGGATAATGTGCAGCGAGGCGGTCTCTATGGGGAAAAGAACACCTGAATCTAGATCCCTCTGCAGATGGTACTTTAAGTATATTTTGATGCTAATACTTTTGTACTTTTACTTGTAACATTTTGAATGCAGGACTTTTTATTGTACAGGGTTCCTGCAGGTTTCGCCAACTCAAATTTAAGACTTTTTAACACCTTTTTAAGACCACTTTGAATAGAATTTAAGACCTATTTCACGGCAATAAAGTATGAAGGAAAATGTATATAAAGAAGAAATACGTCCCATAATCACTTACAAAGTAAATGTATTCATGTTCAACATAAGAACAGTGACTGAACACAACAGCGTAACAGTACAGAACTGTGTTAGCGTGTTAGACAAAAAGTGTGTATGTGTGTGCGTCTGTGTGTTAGGGCTGTGCAATTAATCATATTTTAATCGCAATTACGATTTTGGCCTGCCACAATTACGAAAACAACATAATCGGAAAAAACGATTATTTTGCTTTGCTAGGTTGTGACAGTGCACCACAACATATTTGATCTAAT